CGCTGCCTACCTCTTCGGGGATAAAAGGCGTGATGTTATGTTAAATGTATATTATGTTTTTATAATAACTATCGTGAGATATACTAAATTAACTAAAAATCGTGGGTTACTCACGTGAATATACTGAGAAAAGCTCTACTAGTTTCGAACCACAGAGGGGTTCTTCCTCATGAGCAGCGTGCGCGGTCGCGGTCGCATCGAGCTTTTCTCAGTATATTCACGTGAGTAACCCGCGATTTTTATTTAATTATTATTATATCAATACAACAAAACAGTTTCAAATTGATGAGGTCAAATGCTCAAACGCGACCCGTGTTCAAACCTGAGCTTACATCCTCACGGTTGGGGTGACATCATCCTTCGTCAACTTATACTAGGATTATCGGGGTATCATGGCGGTCGTTTTATTACAAATATGTCAGAACAAGGCTTTAATAATGTATTGCCATATATAGCTTCATATAGATAAGCTAATCATGTTTTGTGTATATGAAAACTACATTCGCAGTTATGCAAAACGATGCTAAATAACTTTGTTGTAGCGAAAACCAATTACAATAACGGCTCACAGATACATTATGTCACTAAATGAAATTATCATCAAACACTGGTTTACAATGAGTTAAATATATGTATATCCTTTGGCTTCACTGGTGTGTGATGCTTTAACGTCATTCATTTACTAGAAAATATCTACTACCTTTTAAAATAACTAACATTTGGTACATTTTCATCTTATATCGTTTTTTAACCTCGATCAAGAACAGACGCCCTAGACGGCCATACATATACTAACCAGATAGCGATAAATTAAAAAAGTGGCCAAAAAGTACCCTTAGCTGACGAGCATACATGAAAAGACTGATGACTGTTGATGAAACGCAAGAGCTGTGTAAGAATCGTAGCAATTGGCGTTCCATAGTCTTTACCTATCTCCATGAGAGATAGGCGTGAGGTTATATGTATATTAATGTATCAAGAACAGAACACTAGAATCTACATATCTAAATGTTTATAACATATGTTCCAATTTCTTTATCAACACCACTGTAGAACTTCCCTTTATTTTGGGCCGATGCTTGACCACTATCTCGCCTGTTGATAAGCGATGATGCGGTCTACCATGGAGCACGTCGACTCAAAAGCAATCTATTTACTCGGGCCTTGAAGACACCCAGGTTATACCCCTTCAGGTTATAACTGAAAACAGTTACACATAGTTTTATACAAATTAATCCTTTGCTTTGATTTGTGATAATTTATATGGTGGATATTCCACACATTCGCACGAAGCGTTTTGCGTCAAACTTCCTCATGCGAACCGCTAAGGAATGGAATTCCTTACCGGTGTCTGTGTTTCTCGTCAAATATGACTTGGGTGTCTTCAAGTCCCGAATGAACAGGTTACTTATAGGTAGGCGTGCTCCATCGTCGGCCACTTTATCGGTTACCACCAGGTGAGTTGGTGGCCAAACGTCAAACTATATAGTATAAAAAAAAATCTTCATGGACTGGTTTCAGAATATCCGAACCACAACTTAGTATATATGTTAATGAAGTCGTGACTGAGTCATCGATCAAAGTCACTTAAGACAGATTAAGCAGTGAAGTTGTAGGAAGTTGTTACAATCTTTGTTGCAACAGTTCGTATTCCAAAGAGAATGCACCACGACGCTATGTTGACGTCACGATATTATTACGGGTTTAAAATCGAGAAAGACTATATGCTAAAAACATTATACCACGATCAATTGGAATCGAGCAGTGCATACAACTTCACGGGAATAGTTAGTTACATAACATGCATAACATCACGCCTTTTATCCCCGAAGTGGTAGGCAAAGGTGCACATTATACCACTGAACAACGTAACACCTACTTTTCACTATTTATGTTATGAGTCCCATGTAATAGGGGGTGAGCCTATTGCCATTTACCGGGCACAATTCCAGACTCCGTGATACTGACACCTGAGACTCATAACATATATAGTAAAAAGTGGGCGTTACATTTTACAATGGCATTGAGTGCCATAATGTGCACCTCTGCCTACCCTTTTGGGTAAAAACGGCGTGATGGTAAATATGTTCTTTCATCCTACTCTAAAGTAAAACTTTTGTTGACTAAAAACTAACCTAGTGTCCTGTTTCAAACTGGTTATTCCTTAGGCCTCATCTGAAGGAGTTAGGAGGGGGGGGGGGGGTGGGATTCCATAATATTATGATGTTATATTATATGCTTAAAGGGTGAAAGTATAACAAACTCATTTTGACATCCTTATTAGTAAGAAATTTTATTTCTTTCATCTTTTTCCTGTATACAGTTGTTTAAGGAAAACCACGGTACAAGGAAAATAATTAAGTATGTATGCGTTTTATATCAATCGGGTTTTTACGTATATAAAAGATAATTAATTTCAGATCAAGTATCACCACAGATGGGGCCCACTAGGGCTGATGCCGATACGGAGCCGCGGAAGGCTTAACGGGTTGCCGGGGCTCCGGCTCGAAGTGCAGGAGTAGGAACAGAGTGGTTTTTAGTCAGTCAAGAGTCTGACACTCCCTCTCGCCTCACCAGGTATCATTGATTTGTGTAATAATACATTTTGTGTTGAAAATATAAATATTATAAGGTAACTCATAACGCTGCAAAAATTGCTTTTTTTATCGTGATGTAGACTGCCTATTAACTTGTCTGATGGTAAGCGATGATGGGATAACGATGGAGTACGACCACAGAAATATTATTTATTATACATATCTATGAGTAAGGCTGCCGATAGTCGACAAAATCATTTGGGACTTGTTCGGACTGAGACCTAGTTTAAATATATTATGAGGGCACTAAATGACATAACATAACATCACGCCTTTTATCCCCGGAGGGGTCGGCAGAGGGGCACATGATGCCACTGTACAATATAACACCCACTTTTCACTATTTACGTTATGAGTCCCATGTAATAGGGGGTGAGCCTATTGCCATATACTGGGCACAATTCCAGACTCCGTGCTACTACTGCGATTTTTGCACTAAATGAATAAGCAATTAATTAATGTATATCGCAAAATGTTCGTTTCTCTTGATACATGCACTGGTGACCTGGGCCTGCCGCAGAAACTATTACGGGAAAAGTTAAATCAGTTTTGTTGCCTCCTTCGAGGCGGTTTCATCTGGTTTTATCTGGTTCAAGGCATATCTCTTGTGAATGCAATTTTGTAAGCTATAGCCGTAACCCGTTTTGGTACGGTACTAGTTTGTTCTGATGAAGAAGATGTATATGCTGTAGTTCGCACCAACATCCTTCAATGGGATAGAAACATAGAATATAATAACATACTAAGCCCAAAAGTTTAAGTGTGGGAGAGCCATGCTTCGGAATGAATGGGCCGGCTCGACCGAAGTAATACCATGGCCTCACAGAAAATCGACGTGAAGCAACGCTTGCGTTGTGTTTCGTTATGTTAGTGAGGTTACCGGAAGCCCAATTACCCTCCCCTGCCCCAATCTCCCCAATTTCTGAATCCCCAACTATTCTCAAACTCCTGATCCCCAAAATACTGGTAACACCTTGTAACGCCTCTGGTGGTCCAGGTGTGGTGATTGCTTACCACCAGGATCCGTCTGCTCGTTTACCGGCTTATGCCATAAAAAAAGACATAGTTTTGGTCAGACAAATAAAAAAAACATCGGTCGTTTTTTAAAATGTAAATATGTTCCCTTTATTTCAACTTTATGTTCAACTGAGATTACAATTTAACTTAAACTAAAAAACGCAGGTATTGTTTATGTACACAGGATGTAAACGGAACGCTTCCGAAAAACGCCGACAGGTGATGGTATAAACAAATATTATTTTAATAAAAGTAAAGAAATAATGTAATGATAGTTGTTGGAAGTATTATTGTAATGTAATGCTCTGTAAAGGTGCTCCCTCATCGGGGGCATTCGCGTGTAATGTCACGTTGCAAATCTGAGCATTACATCAGTAAAGGAGGAGGACTGAACATGACAATGCGCACCTTGTAATGATACAATGTGTAATATCTTGATACAACCTGTGACATTAAAATCTATAGTTGTTATCAACTGCTCAAGGCTGATTTTGCATGAATAATACGAAAACAAAATCGATTAAAATTTGAAAAACAATTTCGACTTTCGAGAGCGTTTCGTTTATAGTCCGTTTACATTCCACGGTTAAAACAAATTCATTTATATATCGAAAAATACTTTACAACAGCACACATCACAAAATATTTATATACATAGAAGTCTATCACACAAAACTTGTAACATCAAAAAATCACAGTCATTGCTTTTCGATATTAAGTTACTAATTAATAAATAAATTAAACAATATAATAAATGCCATTGGTACCTGTAAAGCATTATTGTAATGTGTTAATTACATGTTTAACAGCTTATTCGCGTTATTGTTGGAGACTCGACTAGTTTCAAGCCATGCTAGGGCTTATATTCATGATACGTAAACGGTACACGACGAATAGTTACGAAAACCCTTAAACATTTTTTTATGGGATAGGTCAGCAAACATGCAGACGGATCACCTGGTGGTAAGAGTGCTTCGGTACGAATGTGCCGGCTCGACCGGAGTGATACTATGACCTACAGAAAACCGACGTGAAACAAAATTTGCATTGAGTTTCGTCGTGTGAGTTAGGTTTCCGGTGGCTGAATTACCCTTCCCCCCCTCTCCAATATCCCCAGATTCCCAATAATCCTCAAATTCCTAATCCCTGAAATACCGGTAACGCACTTGTAACACCTCTGGTGTTTCGGGTGTCCGGTGGCGCCGATTGGTTGCCATCAGGTAATCGTATGCTTGTTTACCGGCTTGTACCATAAAAAAAGAATAGTAATGAACACCGTCCATGGACACCTGCAACACCAGAAGGGCCATTGACCATTTGGAGGTTTGGAGATTCGAGATTGGAAATGGAATGAACTAATTGCAATACTCCAAAAATTTAGACTGGTTAGTACTTTTCCTTCTTCTCAGGCAAAGTAAAGGTGTCAATATTTTGTGGATATTTCAAAATAACTTCGGACACAATTTCTGACAAAGATTTAGGGTCATCAGATAGTTGTTCTTGCTTCAATTGTTTCGCGTAACTGTAGTACAGCAGAATGAAGAATACTGAGAGCACTGAAATAATTGAGAAAAATATTACGTTTTAGATTACATGGTCCATTAATGCAGGTGGCTTTCCTTTTAATTTTGTAAAAGTAGTAGATAATTTATTATTAAAAAAACTGCACGGGTCGTTAATTTTTTGGTTCAATACATATATCCATCTATTTCATATTTGATGTTACCCTCACTTATAAACAGATTGTATGTTGGTGAATCATAGTAAGTTGCATCGTTAGGGTGGGAAGGGGAGCGAAGTTTCGATCTTATTTGAGCTCACATAAAAGCCAGTTAATTACCGTCTTGGTCATTATATGTTATCGAAAAAAACTTGAGGATATTTTACAAGTTATTTGTTATTTTCATAATATGAAGTGGATGGTCGTGTGTGGCAAGAAGTTCTCGTCTAGAAATTAACGCAAGAATTTTAAGTTTTATGTAAAATAATTTTTGTATAACTTACAAATCTCTGCTGTGCAAAATACTGATGAGTTAGTGGTGTGCCCAGTATACAAAGCCACGCCAATTATCGATAAAAGTATGCGGAGAGCAGCAATTGACACTTGTAACTTAATATGGCCTGGTTGTTTCTGAAACAATACAGTTTTAGTTAAAAAATTTGAAAACAACCAAGTCGCTATTTTTAAGCTTTTATTTCGTTATTATTCAATATACACATGTTTTATTTAAGTTTAAACTATCGAAACGCAAATAAAGAATAATGCATGGCGTTTCTCAGCCATCATTTTGATTGATAACCAATTCTTTATCACCCAAATATTCAGAAATTTTACACAATTCAATGTTTAATAAAAGATTAAATTGTGTAAAATTTAAATTATTTACTAATAAAATTAATAAATAATAATTTTATTAGTAAATAATTTAAATATGTAAAATACATATGTTTAATGTAAAATACACACCTTATGCAAACCAACAAGAAGAACGATACACATGGCAAACCAGGCCAGATTTAAGCTTCCATCCAAAACAGTTATTATGATAATCTGCATCAACTTGTTACTATCCATGGAGTCCATATCAGGAACTCTCTCACCATCTTCTGTGGCTTTGGTACGGAGGTATTGAAAACCATGGGTGTAAATAGCTAAGAAAGCCAGAGTTCCAAAGAAGAACATGGATATTATGAAGTTTAGAATCTGAAAATAGAAGAAACGTAAACATTTATAAATAATATTTGGCGAGGTTGACTTGAATTGGCTTGTTTGATGAAAGGAATCATTTTGGTCTACGGAGTCAGTTATATCAGAGTCGTCTCCTAGCTTGAGATTTTGAATTCTATCCTTCCGTTATTAAGTGTTATTGTAATTATATCAATAGTTGGCACAGAGTCGAGACATGTGGGCGGCGACAAGGGAAAAGCACACCTATCGCTTCAGGGACAGTTGGCATTATTTAATGTTAATGCAGTAGGGGCGGGTCCATGTTTAAACATCATTTTATACACATTTAAAACGATTTTAGTATTTCTATATTATTTGTTTTGAGTCTGGAAATGTGGTATATGGTGGTATATGGCATGGTATATGGCAATAGCTCCCCCCTGTTACATGGGACTCATATCATAAATAGTGAAAAGTGGGTGTTACATTGTACAGTGGCATTAAGTACCGTAATGTGCACCTTTGCCTACGCCTTCTGGGATAAAAGGCTTGATGTTATGTTATTTTCTACATTATTTGTGAATTGAAAAGTAATAAAAATGAATACGTACCAAGCTAGTATACCCAAGTACAAAGCAACCAGTCTCTAGAGGTACACAAAAACAGCATTTTGATAACAGGCTACTTTCTTTTCTGACCTCAAAGTCCTTATTCTGATGTTGGTTCGAATAGATACTGCAATAAATAAATAAAATACCAATTTAATTCACATAACACACAAATAATTACAATAATAACCTCCTCCTTTTTTGGGAAATCGGTTAAAAATAAACAGTTCTTTGTCGGTCAATTGTATTATAATAAGCTCAATAAAATATGCAATAATATAATTCAATATATATTACACTACATGTTACCCGCGACTTCGTCCGTCTAAAATAATGTTTATAGAGAAATGATTTTAATTTCGAAGTTAAAAAAATAATTGGAAAGGCTTGTTGATGCACATGATCCAACACTGGAGATTTCTCAATAAGATTGTAAGAAGCATTGGAAGTACTACGGAGGCCGACAGGAAAATCTTAATCAGCAAGACGTTTACGGCAATACAACTGCATGTAATATTATGAGCATCATATGCACTTGTCACAACTTGCGTAGACAACAAGCACGATTGGCTAAGTCCAACCTCATCACTAAGGTGAGCGAGATTGATTTCAAGGTAACTCGAAACGAACCCGGTATATGGCAATAGGCTCACCCCCTATTACGTGGGACTGGGAAAAGTGGGTGTTACATTGTACAGTGGCATTAAGTGCCGTAATGTGCACCTCTGCCTATCCCTTCGGGGATAAAAGGCGTGATGTTATACTATGTGTTAAAAAAATTCGCAGGTCTTTTACCCCTACAATGCCCTCTCCCATGTGTCTCGTGAGCTATCAATGATAAAACGCAATGATAAAACACGCGTGAATAGTTGGACCGATCAGAATTTTTTTGTAGTGTCTGTTATTGTCAGGACTCTCTTACGACAGAAAAAGTATCCTGATAATACTACGGGAACTAGAGACAACGAGATTGCGTATGATACGAAATCGCGGGCAGACGCTAGTTATCTAATTGGTATAAAAAAATGTTAAACAACCAAAATTTATTAAAAAAATAGATATTAATTCAGTATATCTCATGAACTTATTAATATAAAAAATGTGTGTCACACATTGTTTATACACAGTTGTATACCATAATACTATCTCGATAAGATTTAAAATAAAAACATTACATCATGTTATGGTGTGGTTTCTATTATGTAAAGTAGCTATTATATTAAACTGTCAAACACCAAGCGGTCACCGGTGACCGCGTCCTATTGTTCTTTAATTGTGTCTATAAATACGGTACTCGACGAGTTAATAGTGAACTATGTTTTTTATGCTAATAACCGTATCATTGGTTGAGCAGTCCGTCACATGAAGTCGGTAAAATTGAATTCAATGTTTACCAAAATGATTTTTGGAACACACTGGTAGTTTTAAAATATTATTATAGGAATGGTCTACTAAATATGTCCAATGGATCGACCTTCATGCTCTATGAAATTAAAACTAGAAAAAGATGAATATAATATCAACACATATCTCTCTTTTTTACTCATTAAAATGTGACGTCATGTTACATAAACTCAGTATTTTTTTAAAAACGTTTTAAACGGATCTATTTCGCCATTATAAGAAATCATCACTTTAGTCTATGTATCTCCAAATTATGCCTACACCAAAAACAAAATGTCCGGTTCTATGCTTAAAGCGATATTGTTTTTTTTTATATCTTCGCAGTATAATATAAGGAAAACAAAAAAGGTAAAATCTTAGTCTTAAAATAACACAAACATGGTCAAAAAACAACCTGTTTTTTTTATCAAAACACAACTTACCTTTAAATTGACATCGAATACTAAAACTTAGACATAACCTCAAAATAATAATTACATTGTAAATATCATCGAGAAAAGTCATCAATAAACTATTAATAAGCAACAATTTAATAAAAATAATAGTATTTATTAAAATGTAATAAAAATAAAACTCACTGTTCATATGGTGACGAAGTCATTTTGACGGACACAAACCGATTTCACTTTTCGTTTTAATAATTGTAACACGTTCGTCGCGCGCGCACCTTTCGTGTCGACTGATCAGCGCACGATCATACACTAGTTTTGTAGGATGGAATCACATGCATTATCTGTTTATACATAACATCAACATTTGCGTCATACTAAGGATAAGAAAGCAATATTCTGTCGTGTGGTTTACTTTATAAGTTTCCTTTTATCTTAACTGTACATTTACCTTGTGACGTAGGCATACCTTTAATGTTATTTCAAATACATAGTTATGTTATTACGTCACATAACAGTTATATACAAAATATGATTTATAAATACAAAGAGCTTAAACTTAGTACTTACTTACTTATGAAAGCCCTCATGCTAAATTGCTAGACAATGTGTCCTTAATTTGAAGTGAAAAATATTCTACAAATTGAAGATATTTTTAAGAATGCTTGTTATTGATGTAGTTAAAGTTATAATTTCGTGTTGTGTTATTTTAACTCATTTAATTGAAAGAATAGAAGAAAAAGTCAATCCTTCCTTATAGGCAGTTTTAGCATTCTAACTATTGAGTATGGCACTCATATACATTTTAATAATTACTCAAATTATTTCTTATTGTTGATTTAATAAAAAAAATTGCTAAGGGTTAAATTGGGGTTAAAAAATAAGGGTAAATGGTTTAACAACGAGATTTACATGAAAGCCTTAAAAGACCGATACAGAGCTTTAAATCAGGATAAGAAAAAATAGATCTTGATAAAATGTTTTAAATTTTTATTCAATTTAAAACAGTACGCGTTTGCAATCGAATATAATAAAACACTATAACTAAAAAATAATGTACATGTTGTGCATATTATTTCAAAAATGTTGCAATTATTTTCAAAGTTTACACTGTGCAGAAATTTTCTTCCCTCTCAGTCAAAATAACTTTGTCGATATTTTGTGGATGCTTTGAGAGGACACTAGCGATGATTTCCATCACTGGTTTGGGAGTTTTAGGCTGTTGTTCCCGCTCTAACAAGATGGCATAACTGTAGTACAGTAAGATGAAGTACGCTGAGAGAACTGCAAAAGTGGTAAAAATATTATATTAAAATATTATTATACAAATTATTATTTCTTTAATTATATATTTCTATAGAAAATCATACAAGCAAACAGTTAAGATGTCTCCATCAACCAGTAAATCAATCATAAATTTTAAACAGATTCAATAATATTAAATAGGTAGAGTTAATTAAATTACAAAAAATATATTACCAATCTCCACGCTACAAACTAAAGTAGAATGAGCCATGTAAGTGCCATGAAAAAACACGCACGCAATCGAAAGAAGAAGCCGAATAGTAGCCACTGACACGTGGAACTTAATATGGCCAGGTCGTTTCTGAAATAAAATGAAAAATATTTGATATTTATTCATCAAATTGGTTGCTATAGAATGTTTAATTTTTAAAATTCCACATTTTGAAAACCAACAGTTTTTATATTTTTGTTGGATAGCAATAATTTCATTTATTTTTATAGCATCACCTCATGGTAAGCAAGCTGTGCCACCCATGGACACCCGTAACACCAGAAGCGTTACAAGTGCGTTGTCGGTCTTTTGGGATTAAGCGACGAGGATTGTTAGGAATTTGGGGATTGGGGAGATAAGGGTGAGGGAGAGGGGGCTTTGGTAACTTCACTCACACGATGAAACACCACGTAAGCGTTGTTTCACGTCGGTTTTCTGTAAGGCCGTAATATCACTACCGTCAAGCTGGCACATTTGTGCCTAAGCTGGGCGCTCTCATACTTATGTGTGACCAGGATAGCGCTGGTGTTTGTACATATTGCTACTTTTTCTACCTCATAAGACATGTTTAAAAAAAAATTGACACTTGAATACATTTTTGCAGCTTACCACCTACCACATACATTTCTGCACTACCCAAAGGATGACTGGCAGAGAATACTGTTAGCATTAAGTCTTCCTTATGCAATTGTATAAAACTTAAATAAATAAATACAATGCCACTTGTTGATTAGAGCACCTGTACCAATATACGATAGTAATAAGTATTTCCTAACAAAATATTTAAGCACAACCCAAAAACATTATAAATGTTGACGGTCCATTATTTGTTAGTTAAGAAAGAGCCATAAAATTGCTAATCACCGACCTTGTAGGACGATGGTGTATAGAGTGAACTAACAAACTGCTGTTTCTAAGGACTTCCCAAGAACAAGCTTTGAACTAATTTGCTAATGTATTTTAATGTGATCAAGCCAGGCTGCCCAACTTTGTGTTGATATGATAGTATAACTATAGTATAACTTATAACTTGTATTGTAGATCTACCATAAGTAAGGTGAAAAAAAACATAGTTTCAGATTTAGGAAAAATATTTATAATGCTCACAATACTGTTAATTTGTTTTTTAAAAGATTCTTATGTTTATTAAGTGTATCATTCTGTTTGGTACTCATTTACATATGCATTGTAATAAACTTTGAAAGAAATACTTTAACGGGCCTTTAGTGTCCAACTCCTTCAAAAATGTCAAAGAAACTGCTGTCCAAACATCATGAAAAGATTTGGCAAAACCTATTTGTAATTTCGTACAAACTGGCTTACTGCCAGCTAAGTAACTCAAACAACGGAACATTTATTGTGGCCGTAGATAATTTTGAACATGCCTCGTACGACCAGCCTGAAATGTGCTTTAAGTCTTTTTATTAACTTAAATGCTGTGTTGGAGATTATTTTTCTTAAATAGCATTGTAATCATATTTACGGTATTAAATGATTTGAAACTTAATTTCATAACATTATAGAATACATACCCTATGCAGACCAATAAGAAGGACAATGCTCATTGCAAACCAGATGACGTTCAAGCCTCCATCAAGAATAGTTACTATAACAGTCGTCATTATCTTGGACCCTTCCACATAATCTGAAATCTTCTCTCCATCCTTATTATGCACCTTATTATGGATGTATTCAAGGTCGTGGTTATAAAAAGCCATGTAAAACAGGGTCCCGACGAAATATAATGATATTATAAAGTTTAGAATCTGGAAATAAAGAAAAATAGACGTAACGTCAACTTTCAGGGTCTATCTGAATATCTTTAAAAGGTTTCACTTACGAAGAACAAGACTACATTCAATTTAAGTAATTAAAATCATAATGGGATAATGTGCAACACTATTTTTTTTAACTTGTGACAAATGCAAATATCTCCACCATCACATCGTCAAAAAAAAAACAGGACATTTGATACATACCAAGCTGATATAACCAAGTATGAAACAACCAGTCTCCAGTGGTACACAGAAACAGCATTTTGAGAACAAAATATATCTCTGCGCTTGTTTTGGATACATGCTGCAACAAATATATCATTTTTATGGCATAGGGCAGCAAACAAGCAGATGGATCACCTGATAGTAAGCAATCGGCGCCACCCATAGACACTCACAGCTCTTGAGAAGTTACAAGTGTTATGCTGGCGTCTTTTAGGACGATATGCTAGGTGATTGTATTTAGTTTAAACTAAAGAAAGATCAATTGCTAAAACTTTTAACTTATTATTTTATAGATGAGACATAATAAGTAAATGGTTTTTTCCCTTTGTTTTCCAATATTTCTTTTTTATTTGTATGTTAGTAATTCCGATTATTAAGGTCAGTTTAGCCAAGAATTTATTTATTTTTGTTTTTCTTTATGATTTTGTTATGTTTGGACGTAACATAGATTAAGTTTTCAAGAATCATTGGAGAAACCTGACATGGTAGGTTTTATATAAATAAATAAATAAATATCGTCAAACTTGTCCAACATATTTTCGTCAGATCTACATAAATGTTGCAAGCAGACATGGGCAGTAATAAAAACAGTACAAATATAGTGCCCTTAGACTTGAAAAAGGTTGTCATCTGCAAAATTAATCATTGAAAACAACGACTGCATTTCATTTGCACGAATACAGCCCTTAAATCACATATAAGTACAGTATTGGAATACATATGTATCAGAGACATTATAGAACATACTTTTTTTTTTTAAAGTAACGGACGAAGTTTCTTGCTCGTTCTTCTCCATTCGAATCTACATTTTGGAATCAACACCTAGCTTCACCTATCTTCACTGACGGACTGACTGACAGACTATTATTTGTTTTGTATTTGTTGACGTTTCAAAAGTACCAAATTATGGTTTAAATGGAATAAATGCTTTGACTTTGACTTTAAAATGGAGTAATTGCATTTGATTTGGGAAAGTTATTAAAGTAATTTCCTTTAATTATTAATGAATGAGATGAAACATATACTCAGTACAATAAATTCATATAATAAGGTAAGAAATGTGTTTACACATGGAAGTTACGTTAGTTTATGCGTTCTTATGCAGCTCGATATGAATTTATAAATATTATCCAATTGTTGTGTGCACAATACATTTTTCACAATGACATTCTTGGTGATAATAACCGCCTCCCATCCTACTTTCACAGATATTTTAATAGGTAGGTACCTATAGTATAATATTTACAGAAAAATAAAATTTAGTATGTATGGGAATCATTTCAAAGCTAGACAAAAACTGTAAGCGAAGTTAATGAAAAATGATCCTTATTTTCTTTGTATCATGTAGGAACACATTATCTATAACGACTGACATCAAAAACAGTCAAAGAAAATTGTATGACCCCGTGATCCACGTATTTTTACATTTTCTTCATAATTGCACCGAATATTAGCACACAGGATGAAAACAGAAATATCGAGGTTCTATTTATCGCTTTTTACTTCTAAATGCTGACCTTCAATTCAAGTGGCCCAAAAATAATTAGTTTTCTGTTATTTTTCTGAACTAAACAAAGTTCTTAACTAATATTCTAAACAGTGTTCGTTTATCCTGATCTAAAGGTGTATACTTTTATTAATACAATTGGGTAGTTTCCAGGGTAAGAAAATTGAAAATCTAATTAGTCCGTCAGTTAGATAATGAAAAAATACTAGACACGTATTTTTTATTTTCTCGTATAAAGTTACAATACTTATAATAAAATGTAGTTAAGTTTAGGAGTGGGAGGTAGTTACGTCACAATGTGCTACATTTTGTTGCACGCTGTGACGTCACATGACATTTCAAATCAATATATCGTCGAAAGCATTTAATTTTGTTAGAAAAGAAAAAATACTTGTCTAATGTTTTAAAATAATCTACCAGACGGACATTAAAATAAAATTTAGGAAACTACCGTATTAAAAGATGAGAGAAACGAACTTACTTTTCAAATGGTGACATAATTACTTTGTCGTACACAGAACTTTACGTTTTATTCCCAAATTGTCATGCGCACACTTTATACGTTTGGTTCAGACTGAGCTGCGCACGCGTGTAAAGTAGGATCAAATTGTAGGGGTATTGTAGGAATTCGATGCATTGCCTGTTTATTGGAACATAACACCTGTACGTCATTCAAATCTGTTTTGTCAGTTATTTTACGTTTTGTTCGAAGAAAACAGTAAATTTTTGTGATGTTGTCGTAGTGATATTGGTAGATATGCGATTTAGTATCGATTGATTGTGTCATGGATATCGATAGGTGTAAATAATAACTCTATTATAAATGAACAGAATACTCATTCTGTTGACCATTTATAATCACAATGCTTATTATGGGGAAAAACTGAGAACAATGGACAGCAGCATATCCTGGACACTATAGCAGGAAGTGGTTCAAGAGTGGGGGATAGGTTTTATTGCTTAAAACTTCATCTAAGAAAAAACCACTTAAATTAACTAAAAATCGCGAGTTACGTGAATATACCGAGAAAAGATCTACTAGTTTCGAACCACAGAAGGGTTCATCCTCATGAGCAGCGTGCGTGGTCGCGGCGGGCTTTTCTCAGTATATTCACGTGAATAATCTGCGATTTTTAGTTAAGTTAGTATGTCTCAAAGAAACCACCTGTATATGGTTTAGATAGCAGCTAATCTTTCTGGCCACAAGTCAGAAATTGAGAATGGAAAAATCCAATTGCTTGTTTGATACAGATTTCTAACCTAACTAAGTAAGTTTTTACTGCTAACCCACGATATACAATCGTACTATGGAATCATTCGTAAAACTACAGAGATTTTCATGAAAAAATTCAGACGTTACTTTTATCGCCTCAGACCTTCAAGATCCTTAGTTTTGATCAAACATCTTATCTTTTTCTCCAAACAAACGAATTAAAAGCAAAGTTAATGTTACTTTTTTTTGTAAAACAAATCAAATTAAGTAAATTAACAAAAGTCCAAACTGAATCCTAATTTCGTTTTAGGATCGTTAATTTTGTCAACCTTTCGCTGTAGGGACGGGACGGCCTGAAAAACTAAAAACTAAGTTTATTAGGCCTCATTAATTCACTGCTAAAGATTTTCATTCGATTCCATTAAAAAGATAAAGATTGATTAACGCAGGCTTGTCATTCATAGGTTCAATAAATCATTGAAACTTACCACGCCTGTTATTTATGAAATCTATAATATAAAAATAAATCGTTGTTGCTAAGCGCAAATCTCGAGAACAATTAAGCCAATTTCGTTATTTTTTTTTTGTCAGGTTTTATATTGTTAGGAAAAGTATTGTATTAAGAAAAAAGAAACACCCAGAAATACTTTCAAGGCGAAACAGAGTGCATAGGGTCGACTAGAAGTAGAAAGATACCAAATTCGATGTATACAAGAAGAAAGTTAAATCTATTAGTCACTAAAAGGATTAACAGTGTCACGTTGCAATAATTATGAGATACCTCGTGCGTGGTAGATGAGGGAGGGGAGATGAATATGAATAATTATGAATGATGGAATATTTATAGTTTCTACATTTTCATGTACCCTATGGAATCCCCATCTACAATTGGGATGACGACAGGGTATGAAAATTATATAATTAGTCCGTCAGTTACGTAATGAAAAAATATTAGACACGTATTTTTTATTTTGTCGTATAATAAAACAATACTTAGATAAAACGAATCAAAGTTTAGGAGTGGGGCCTAAAGCGCCATTTCTACATATAAAATGTACATAGAAGTGACATCACGCGACATTTCAAATCAATATATCGCCGAAAGCATTAGTTTTTGTAAGAAAATAAAAACTGTAATGATTATCAAAATAATCTATCAGACGGACATTAAAATAAAAATTAGGCATCTACCCTATTCCAAAACAAAAATTACTTTCGAAAAGAATATCCATCAATTCCAAACGACATAATGCCATGTCCCAGTTCCATTTTTAACTAAAACTTACAAACTTCTTGAGGCTTAAAAAGTTAAATATAAACCCTAAAAAGCCCTTACAATAAACTAATCCATCGTGCCTCAACTCTATAAAATTTTTAGTCTCACGAAAGCAATTCAGTATCTTTCAAAGTAGTTTTAGTTGGTATATTTTTAATATTTTCTCTTTGCATGCTATTCATTAACTGCAGGGTCAACAAGCGTAACGGAACACGATTTTACATAATCAGAACCCTGTATCTGATTACAAATGACGGTTTTTGATACTCAAAATATTACGTTCATTGCAAACATGATGAGAGCGTTTTGAATTTGTAAAGAATCGTATATTGAAAAGAAAGATAAGTTACACGTGTTTTATAAACGGGAAAAGAATCACAAGTATGAAATCTCTTCATATTTTGAATGAGAATATTTCAGAAAAATAAACATTAAAACGACAGGTATGAGGGTTGTACTGCTGTCATTGTATTAAGCTGCTTTCTGTATTAAGTAGTAAAAAGATGTAGGTAACCAATATCTGAAGTTATTTATTTTCGATTTTGCATTCGTGCGTATTGTCAAATCGATGTGGGTTTTGTCAATTAGTTTCTCAAATACCAGATTGGTGATATATTAAAAAAGACCAAATTAAAAGTACCCTTAACCGACGAGCAAGAGTGTATGTAAGAATCGTTGCAATTGGCGTTCTATAGTCTCTGTGTACCCTCGTGGAAAAAAAATGTGAGGTAATGTATGTATGTTTCTCAATTAGTACTATGTCAATATAGATAGGGATCTGAGATTATCAATAGTACATACTCCAAATTCGTAGCACACTATTCTACACTTTTAAGCTTGTGATCAAGTATGCCATTTTCTAAGATAATTTCTACTGTATTTCAGTACACATTTTTTGAATGTAATATTGTTTAGGATTAGGTTCACAATATTTATCAAGATTTTAGATTTTACTGGTTTTAAGAAATAAAAATGGAAGATAAAATCTGTTATGACGCAGCAATTTTGTTGTTAAAAAGTCAGTTTAAATATAGTCGTAGCAATTGGACAATATCTCGCACCCGCCACATACTGTGTTCTTGGCATATGAAATCGAGGGAACCATCGGGGCATGCTATAATGTTGCCATAGATCAGCACTAAACGCTCCTCGCGGTGCCATTCATAAGTTGTATGATAAAACGCCACTTGGCCGCCTAGAAACTTTCCCCTCAACGGAGGAATATTTTATAGAAATTTAAATCCGGACCCGATTTTCGATATTTTAGCACGTTTATTTTATAGTTCTTGCCTTTGGGATTGCTAACAGATAGATATTTATTCGGCACTTTAATTTTAATGAAGTATTATACAAGCATGCAATCGTGTACGTAACATGTGTAAACTGTAGCTCTGTAACTTTATAGACATTTTTTTTATTGAAACTTTACCCTACACTAGGATTTTTTCCTGCGTCGTGGGTCCGTACGTTTATAAACATACTAATTCACATACTAATGGCTCCGAGACTCTGAATAACAAATTGTGGATCAAACAAAGGGTTGTTCGGTGCAGGGATCGAACCCGCGACACGTTGCACGGCCCCCGGTTGCCCAGCCACCGCACCAACCGTGCAGTATGCACGTACATGCATTTACTAGGTAACATATAACATAGAGTTATTCTTCACTGACAAGGATCGTACTCACTTATCGTTAGTTATATGACAAAATCATAACCTGTAAGAGACTCTTCCTAAATTCCCTGAAGCGCCTTGAAAATACTCAGCAAAGCTTTTTTAAATTCACGCGAGTTTGCCATTCAATAAATTCCATTTAGGAATGTTTGACATAATCATTCAGTTAGCATTTCTTCCACGAAACATACACCATACGAATTTTATTATCGCCCTCAAATTATTATAAGTATCAGCGAAAATGTATTTCATCAGTATTCAGCTGTAAAAACCGTAAACAATGGCGGTAAACATTAATAACTGAAATTGTTTGCATACACAAGTTATTTACGATAATATTCGATGACCATGTAATTAAAATATGGTGTAATCCTTAATCTGTTCGGCGGCTGATAAAATGGATAAGTTGTAAATTGAATTTCGTACATTAAATAAAGGTAACGTGGAATTTGTTGCTTAATAAAGGAACCCTTGGGTTTTATAATGAGTTTCAAATTGTAAATCTGGATACCTAACTCAATTTGATTCAGTTTGAGAATGTACCTGTGCGATGGAATATTGGTACAATGTGCGTACCAGAGGTTTTATTATAAGATTCGGTCTTCATATTAGTCAAACTACATATTTTGATATTTTTGGTTTTCTTTTTGAGTAATATAAATCCGAAATCAGAAATAATTTATTTGCCAAAAATTAAGGTAACAAATATGTTGTTTTATAACTTATATAGAGTCCCAGTACATTTTGCCTTACGGCATGCAAAATTATAAATTGAATACATTGTCTAAGTTGCTACGTTTATATCTAGTTAACAATTCTGTAATTAAATGAAATTGAGACACATATCGATCAACATAGAATTATAATTAACAATTAATCGAAAATAGCATTATACATATAATCATTATTATAGTGAAAAAAAAACATAGGTATTGCTATAAATTGTATGTTTGTGTGTGTGTGTGTTACACAATCACGTCAAAACGGATGAAAGCATCGGGTTGTTTGGAACATAGATAGATAACGGTCTGGATTAACCCCATAGGCTATTTTTATCCCACAGAAACGCAGTTGAAACCACGAGAAGAAGCTTGTTAAGAGATATAATTTAGAGTTTATTAATAGTATAAAATAGAATACCCGATCCTTCAACTAAAATATGTACTACACTACATTTTCTAGGCAAACATAAAATATTTATAACGCAACCAATTTTACTACAATATTATTAGGTTTGTGGACCTACTTTAATGAAACCTAGAATTTATGTAGCCCTGTCCAATTTCTTAGCCCAGGCCCACCCACTAGTGGACGGAAGATGTAATAATATTTGAA